GCCATATCAAGAAAAGCTTGCAGCTCCAATGCTTCGCGATAGTACATCATACCCCTAACTGGCAATTATAACAATGTTAGTCAGTTGCAAAATAAGAACAAATACAAGTGCACCTGCACGCACACACACACTCAGTTGTACTTTTTACTTGTTCAAGAAATTGTTGAGAGAGAGAGAGAGAGAGAACCAGTTCTTGTTAAAGTTTGGCCCCTATATGATGCCCAAAGACGTAGTTGTTCTTCTAACTCTGGTGCTTTAAGTTCTTCTTCAGTTGTACGATTTACTCGCTCAAGAAAATTGTTCCATTCATCTGTACATTATTCACAGGAGATTAGTGCCATGGCAAAAGTAGTTAAGAAATTTAGCTCTCAAACTACACTCAGAGCAAAAGAAGGCATAAACCTGGAAAAATTTTTTGCAAGTAAAAAAGGATAGAAACACCATCTTCATTTGGCACCTCCAAATCTTTCAAGGAGAAGAGAACCTCCTCTGTGTAGTAAGGAGTCAAAACACTACAAAGGAAGTTGTTACCACTTTAGCAAAGTGCATCATGAACAATGTCATATTATTAAAACTTAAACTAATGATCATTGAAGCCCATGCATCCAGAATTCCCTTTAGACAATTAATCATATTAAAGAGTTTCACCAAACATTAGTCAAGGTACAATGTAAACAATTATATTCACTTAGATTTTTAGGTTCAGCTCCGCAAAGTAAATATCATATATGCTCAATAATTTGAAGGGCCAGTAGCTTCAACCTAATAAACTTGAATATAAAATTCCACTGATGACAATTATGATCAAAGTTCACTAATTTCAAGAAACAGGTCATCCATCACAAAGAGAAACAAAACCATTCAACAGTTCAAAATATTTTGGATTTGTCCATTGCATGCTTTCAAATCCAAAAAAAAAAAAAAAGACTTGGATACATAAAGTATGGAGTGGATTAAGTTGGAAGAAATCCAAAAAGACTAGATTCCATTTTTTAGCCCAAAGAAAAAAAAAAGAAAAAAGAAAAAAAGGAAAGATTCATGCAGGCAGATTTACATTGTTTGTCTTCCAACAATAAAAACTAATATACAGATAAGCTATCACAACATCTTTAAATAGACAAGGAATGGTTTCAACTTCAACAAATTCGTTAAAGAATGATAAGGTAACCAAATTCAGTACAAAATCATATTGATTTTCATCTTCAATAATTAGTACAAGAAGCAAACCAATCTGAATTGGATTGATTGGTTCAGATTGGTTATTTGGTTTCTTATTTTTCTCAGGCTGTCAGCACACCACATGTTCATGTATGCAAGTACATTAAATACATAAATTTGTAGAATGCTAGACACCCTAGTTTAAGAAGTCTAAGGAGTAGGAGTTTCCTATTATTGGGGCCACGTATGTATAATAACATGAAATGCAAAAGCTTGTTATTAGAAAGATCACTAACGAGAAAGAAAGCATGTTGCGGACTTTAGGTGCATCAGGCATATCCATAAACAATGAATTGGAAAAGAAAGAAATCCGCCTCCTAGCTTCTAAGTTGGATGGTACGTCCATTGCAGATTCCTTTGTGGTAAGTAAAAGATAAAGCCGATTGATCTGCAACACAACTAGCAAATACAGATGATAGACTTATCAAAAAGAGAGAGTTTCTCAGTTTTGATGGATATCCATTAAATTCACCTTTTCT